GGAATTTAAAATTTACTCCAATTTCAAAATAGATTGACTCAGAAAATGTATGAGTAATACCCTCATAACTTATGAGCACAGGGTACGATATGTGCTCAAAAGGTTGTAGGAAACATCTCTTGCTGTAAGGTCTTTGCTGAAGGCTGCCAGAAATTTTTTTTTTTCCTTCACTGATCTAGATATGATTTTATTTGTTTTCTTCCCTGACCTCTCCTGGCTGCCAATCCAATAATTGATCACTCTTTTCCTTTCACTTTCACTGAGCTGGCTTGGCCTGGAGTGGAGTGAATCTTCTCCACAGTAGCTGCTATGGGTTTGTGCTTTGGATCAGTGCTGGGAGCAGTGCTGGTAACTCAGGGATGGTTTTGTTACTGCTGGGCAGACCCTACACTGACAAAGACCTCTTCTGCTCTCACCCCACCTGTGAGGAGGCTGAGGAGTGAGTGGCTGGGGTTAAACTGTGACAGGCCCTAAGGCAGCATCAGATGTGATATTGTCCTGCTGGTGGGTAGCATCCTGTTCAAGCTGTTTAAGCACCATGTCTTTTTGCCATGTGTTTTTGTGCTCATCCCCATGGCATTTTCCCCATCTGGTCCAACCTGTGACTTCAGATTTTTCTTCTTGCCCTTTTGTTGTGCTAGAGGACAGAAACGGGTGAATTATGGACTGTGAGCTGTAGATACACTCACTTTTGGGAAAATTTGAAGACATTAACATTCGTTTCATGAACATTCCCCCCCCCATCCCCTCCGCCCTCCTCTTTAAAATGAAAGCCAAGTTTTTTTCCCTACAATATTTTTCTTTTTGGTGAAGTGATGTTGGTCAGAGAAATCAGACTTTTCTTATGTAAAACTTCTTTGTTAAAGCCACTCATTGTGTTTGTGCAGTATTTATGACTGACCACTGTGTTTTCTGAGGACATTCTCTTGAACTCCTTTATCACCTTTGCTTATGCTGCACTAAGACACACAGGAGGGTGAAGGGCAGAAGCATTTAGCAGGTTTTTCTTTATAACTTTGAAAGATTTATGGATTTAATACAAAAATAGGTTTTGATCATTATCTTTCTAAAGCAATTGGATTTGCTTTATTCCAGCTTGGGAATTTGGTTTAAATTTACTTGTCTTTCTCACATCATACACCCTGTGTCTTCTGGTACATGCTTTCAAGTTCTAAATTTTGATTTATTGTAATTTATTACCTAGAAGGTGTTCTTAAATTACTGCTTCAATAATATAATATACTAAAAACTCAGTGGTTTTGTCACATCATACCTGTATTTGACAGCAAATTGATCTGACAGTATTATTACATGTTTTTGACAGGCTTATTTGAGATCCTTAAATCCCAGTTCCCTCTTTGTTTCCTTGCTGTAACATCAGTGGCATAGCCTTGTGATCAATTATCCACTTAGGAAGACCCAAACGTCTGCCAGTTTGGTTTCCAGAGAGGGATTCGCTTCAACATCTGTTAAATATGTTCATTTTTTCACAGTTTAAGAGAAGATTTCCTGTCCTGTTCTTGCTGGTGAGTGTCACAGTGATGCTCTCACAGGCTTTTCCTGGGACTCACCCTTTGGGCAGATCTGGTGGCAGTGGGAACCCTGCAAAGGGACACAGAGATCTCTCTTCATGCCAGAATATTATGTTTTTAAAATGGAAACTGCAGAAATGGCCACTGCTCTGGTTTCTGGAGAAAGCTGCACAGGTTTGCTTGCATTTAGTTCTGACTATACTCAGTCTGGGAGAAGGACCTGGTCCTCCTTGCAAACTGGGCACCATGGTGTGGCCAATGTCCCTGGAGGTGATTCCTGGAGAGGCTGCCTAGGACAGAGTCTAGACAGAGTTAAGAGAAAAAAGTATGTATTTATTAAAGGCCTTCAATAGATACACCTTGGGCAGTGCAAAGCAGAGGCTGCACCCAAGATGGACAATGGTCATGAGTTTTTCAGATATAAATTTGGTCTATTTGCATATCAGGGGTTAATTCTTCAATTATATCTTCAGGTAAGGAAGTCATACTCCCCCAGTTTAATCCCTCCCAATTAACTTTCTTTTATCCTTTTCAGGGCCTGAGGCAGACAGTGTCCTTTGTTCTCAGGCCCAGAAAGATTGTTTTGTCTGACCAAAATATGAAGAGAGCTTGCTAACACTGTATGGAGTTCAAAGTTATAAACCAGTGCAGTACAGCATCTGAAAAATATAAAAACTAAAAATTAAAGGCATCAGAGGAAGGGGCTGAATTTTGTGGCAGCGAGATCTCTCTGTCTTAGGAATGAGGAGCCAGCCACCTGCCAGGGTGCCCATGCCACGTTATCTGCCTGGCCAGGCTGGGCTTGGTCTCTCCCTGCCTCTTGAGCTGCTCCTGTCTGCCTTCAGCCCAGCATTCACTGGGGAAGGAGCTTGGGTTAAAACTGAGACATCTGGGATGCCTGTTCTGGTGAAGCACAGGCGTGGCTTCAGCTCCAAGCTCTGCCCTCTCGCAGTCAGTGTTACACCAGGCTGCAGCACCTTGTGGTGTTGTGTCTCCACATGGATTACACAGGCAGGACTTGGTTGGCAAGGATGTGCCTGTTGTTATTAATAATTCATTTCTAGGGCATGAAAAATGTAAATTTCTCACAAATAGCTATCCTACAAAAGGGATAATAAGCTATTTTATCACTGCTAGGTAGTCTCAGGGGCTATATAGCTATTTTGATAGTTGAACTTTTCTCCTGGTGTTTTTGCCTATGTCATTAATTTGCACAGATAGCTTGTGTACAGGGTTATGCTCTTGTTCATGATGCTCACATTGCTGGATCATTATTATACACTTTTAATGTAATAAGGAAAAATCTTTCAGCCATAAAAGAAGAAAATCTTATGAAGTGGGTTGCCTTCCAGTGAGAAACATGCTGTTGGCAACATATTTAATGCAGCACCTAGAGAGTTTGATAATCACTGTGTGTCTGTGATATTAGCATTCATATTGCTTATGGCATTTGGATCAACAACAGGGAAAAAACTATATTTTCTCAAACTAAAAGTTTAAAAACTTAGAGTTTTACTTTAAACAATCAAATTGGGACCCTTTTGTTATGTTGCAGCACTCTCCGAGGTTTTAGAGCTCCATGTTGGCCTTGTAGCTCCTGAAACAGCATGTGTGATATGTATTTGGATTTATACCCCGCAGATAAGCAAATGGCCAGGTGGATTAACAAATGGAGGAGCAAAGCCTCCAGAGGAGGAGTGCAACCAGTGTATTCTGTAAAGAGGAGAGTGCTGTTTTGACAAACATGGGTGCTTCTCTACTGATGCAATGTCAGCACAGCCCTTGGCTGTGAAGTCATCTAGAGATCAACTGCATCCAGGGTAAGCTGCTTTAAGTAAAATGAGGATTTGACCCAAGAAACATGGCATGCTTTTTACCAGCCATACTGTGCTGAATTGGGTTGGATTAGTCAGTATTCCTCCTAGTAGCTAGTAAGGAGTTGGGTTGGAAGAGTGTTGGTAATTTGGGGGTGTTTTCTGGGCAGTGCTCACACAGACTCAAGGCCTTTGCTGCTCCTCTCCCCACCCCACCAGCGAGAAGGCTGGGGATGTACAGGGAGCTGGGAGGGGACACAGCTGGAGCAGCTGATCCCAACTGATCCCAAGGGATGTCCCAGCCCACATGGCATCATGCTCAGCATGTAGAACTCGGAGAAGAGAAAGTAAGGGGTGTGAGATTCAGAGCAATGGTGTTTGTCCTCCCTAATCACCATTTCACATTTCTGCCCTGCTTTCCTGGGAATGGATGAACACCTGCCTGACCATGGGAAGTGGATAATGAATGTCTTGTTTTGCTTTGTTCTTGTGAAGCTTTTGTTTGACCCATTAAACTGTCTTTATTTCTACACAATAATTTTCTTTCACCCTTCTAATTCTCTACCTGTCCCACTAAGGAGGAGAGAGGGTGCATTTGTGTGGGGCTGAGCTCTTGGCTGGTGTTAAACCATGATACCTGTTCATGTGGAAGATGAAACACGTTTTATTTTAGCGTGAAGCTAAAATCCAGCTTCACATCCTTAAGGGTCCTTCCGTCAGATTGCATTTGCCAGCAGAGCCTGACTTGAAGTTTAGTGAAGAGAGTGGCGAGCACCACACACCCGACAACTTGGTATAATGACATGTGACTTCAGCTTGTGCTTCTCTTTAGGGGATGACTAATGAGTCTTTGTCTCATAGAAGACATTAAAATACAATTACATTATGTTAGATCAGCTCTCACAACTGCTAAATTACAGAGTAGTAGGCAGTGGATTTTCTGCAGTAGATTCCAGTCAAACTGTTCCTGACGCAAATGTATGTGATAATTCACTGTGTGGACAGAAATGTATTCACTATTGTATTTTACAAGGCAGATTTTTCTTATGTTTTTACAGGTTTTTCTAGCTCTGGTAAAGTCTCTAATGAAATTCCAGTCTGGCAGTTGACTCATTAAACTTTCCCTCAATCCATCACCGTAAAGCTGATTATCAAGATGTTGTCTTTTGGTGTTATCAATCTTGAGTGACTTTTTTGGAGATTGATGCACATCCGTTCTTATGACTGGCTCAGATGATATCTGCTATTTATCTTGATCTCCTTTTATTTAGTGTTTTAACTTAGAAGGTTATACTGCCTTTCTTGATTGAATTTTAATGATGAGGTCTTGACTACAAGACAGACCTTCCACAGCTTTCAGACACATTTTACAAAATAGTGTCCTCAGGCTTTCCTTGCTGACACATTTCTAGATTGTCTTTTTCATGCAGTCCCAAATGGGGTTTGCTCCACTCTGTGTGTGCTTCTACTCAGGTGGATGTGCTGCAGTGGTATGGCCAGCTTTAAAGAAAATTTGGGATATAGGGAATTACTCCACAGTAAAAAACCAATTATTTGCCAGCTTCCCTGTGGCTGTTAATGGGTCTGCAAGGGGCAAATTCAAGTTAAAAGGCAAGTATGGTTCTGTCAGCAATATAATGGTAAATAGACCAACATGTCAGTGAAATGCCAGGTTGGCTGAGGCCAGTAAAGTCATGCTCTGGTTAAGCACAGACAAAACCAAGCAAACAAAAGTGAGGAGAAAGAGAATAAGGGGGGAAAAAAGCTTTGGAATGGTATAGGCAGCAGCATCAGACTCCAGTTATGGGATCATTTAGGGCACAGCTGAAGCCAGACCAGCTGGGGAATGTTTCTGAGGACGGTCTCTGAAAATCTGTTGAGGGGCAGGACAGAAAAGCTTGGCACTAAGGAATGGAAGTGGCTTGTCCCTTAGTGTGTTCTTCATCATGTGTATCTGAGCTGTTACACATCCCTTTCACGTCCATTCATTTTTAGGACCAATACCTCTTGTATTTGAAAGTCTGTGTTACATGACTTATAGACAATTTTGTAATTGGAATAATTAAAACTTTAAATGTACCTTTTTTTCTTTTTTCCCCAGCAGTACCTTGCACCTTGGATAGCTTTTGTTAAGGATGGTGCTGTGGACTCCAGTCCTGGAATAAAGCTACCAGTCTCTTTCAGGAGAAACACTCTGATGCAATCCTGGTGCTGCCAAGTTCCTGCTGTTATGGGGTCAGACAGCTGCCTTCAGTGCAGGGGAGCTGTGTCCAGCACACAGCAATCTTGTGAGGTGATATTTTTGTGTGCAACATTTATTCTCTTACTGGGGTTTCCTGTTCATCCCTAGGGAATCAAAGTGCTCCATGGAGGGCTTGGGAAGTGGTCACTGCTTGTTTGTGCTATAGGGCACCATGAGGGTTGTATCTTCACAAATAGGCCCTTCTGCATTCATTCATTGCAGAGCTCTCACAATGGGCAGAAATGAGGTGTGTTTAGGTCAGCAATCCACAAGCACTTGGATTTGTACCCACATTTGCCCCCTGCCCCCCCACTGGACACAGCTACACGTGCACTCATTTGTAGTTTGCATTCTTGGTGCTGTATTCAGAGCTTCTGCCTGATCCCAGCTATACTTCAGTACCCAACAGGGACTGTAAATCAGATGGTGCATTTTAATGTAGTATAATAGATTTCTGGTGAAGAAAGAGCTTTCTTCTCTGTGCCTCCTTGGTGGAATTATTTGCATTTTTTCACTGTGTCTGCATGTGCGCCAGTAGTTCTGGAGATTAACCTTAATCTCTGATTGAAAGCAAAGCAAAGTGACATTAGCTTGTAAAATGGATTCTATGAGAGATACATTTAATGATTTTCTTTTTTTTTCCCCTCAGTAGTCAAAGGTAAACTGCTGCAAGCAATGTTATTGGACCAGGATTTCCTTCTTTTTTCTTTTTTTTTTTCCCTTCCCTCTTAAAGGCTTTACCATTCAAAGACACAAAGTTTTAGAGAGCTTTTGGCTCTAATTCACAGATGGTGTGTAGTTCCCAAGTGCATCCTTTATGATAAGGAATCAGTTGTTTGAAAGTATTTTCTCAATAAGCAGGTTCAATTGATTCTCTGTGGCTGCTGCCTGAGCTGAGAAACTACTTCTTGATGGAGATGAGGATGAAGAAAACATGTAGCAGAGAAGCTGGGTACTTTATGACATCTGTTTGTCCAGAGATAGGAGGTTTTCCAAGAAACTATCTTGCCAGGTCACACAGTTGTGTAGCTCTTTTGGGTGATTCATAAGTTCTAAATGTGTCTTTAGCTCTCAAATAAAGAATCATATGATTTCTCCTACTTTTTTCTTCTTTCAATTGCCATGTGGGTAGATGTACAGCATCGTGCCCCCTCTTAGCCTCTCTCCTTGGGGATGACTCCATCAGACCTCTGGGACAAACTCCAATTGTGCTATAATGTTTAATTCCAGAACATTAAGGCAGCCTCTGTATCACACAAACTCTGCTCTGTTCTCATGACAGTCGTCCCTGCAGGGCAGCTGGAGCACCAGATCTCAGCTCCTGCTTTTGCCATGAGAGCAGGAAGCAGATCTGATGGGTCAGAGGGATCCCTGCCAGATGCAGATGTGCTCCAAAGCAGAGCCTCAGGCAGTCACTGAAAACTACCACTAAATGCTAATTCCATCGGAAGTTAGTTTTCCATAACTCTGCTGAAGAAATAAAGCTCAAGGCAATGTTTAATCTGTCAAATACTTACTGGAGGACTGTTAGTTCATGTTTCTGTTATACTCTGGCAGTGCCAGCTACTGGCAAAAGGCACCTACAGGAGCAGAGGTGGGGAGGGGATGTTGTCTCCAGGGCCTGCCCCCTTCTGCTCTGTACTACCAAAGGAGAGTGTTTGCAGGTTTTTGTGTAAAGGAAAGGCCCTACTAAATTGTCTTGGCAACAGGATTATCACTGACCAGCCAGAAAATCCTTCCCCTTGGAGGACATTGGCAGTGCCTTGTCTCAAAACACAGCTCAGCCACAAAGCTATGGAAAAAATTTGAGGAAAATTGGTTTTAGTTGCCTGATGATACTGACCCCATCATTGGGTAAATGCTTTTGGTGGCTGGAGTTGGTAGGACTGTGCTGTGTTTTTGTTCCCAGTGCTGGTCTTTTGTGATGATCCAGTTCTATTGACATCAGCAGCTCAGACTGCAGTAAACACTGCTCCAGTGGAGTTGTCCTCTTACACTCACTCTGCTTTCCACACCTTGCTTTTCCAGCTGTTTTTCAGAGGGCAGCTGTTTCCTCCCTGGCTTGCAACAATGTTCAGAACACGCAGAAATTCCACCTTTAAGTTTTGCAGACAGTGTGGTAGCTGCATTTTATAATTTCCTCTTTTTATTGTTGCCTACTTCTAAATGTCATTGGAAACAGCCTTTAGTGCCTCTTTCCATAGCCTGTCCTTATAAAGCTCTCCCATTAAATTTTGTGTCAGTTCAAGAGGAGGAAGGAACGTGGCCTTACCTTAGCCATGTGCAATAAACATTTGTTATGTGCCTGCTGCAGTTCACCTCCTCGGCCAGCCTGTGCTTCCCTTGGCTTTGTAGTTACTTAAATGAGTGTGGTTTGGGGACCTTGTGCTGCCCCATGCCTGTTACTGTCATGGTGAATTACACTGGCTGCTGGTACCTGCCCAGTGACAGCCTCTGACAGCCATCCTGCAGGTACCATTTGTCAGAGGCTCTGCTGATGGGTCTCAGGAAAGGGCCTGGCACTTGACAGAGCAGTTGCCTCTCTCTCTCTCTCTCTTCAGTGCAAATGCTTTGGAGCCCCAGAGCTCTCTGTAGCAGACAGTGGCATTGCCAGCTCCTGCCTGTTTTTGGGGATGTCTTCACTGCTGGAGTAAATATTTATTCATAGCATTCCTTGTAATGATCTTCAACTTTTTAGGGTGAAGTCCTATTTTCTAAAGTTCTTTGAATGGTGAATTCACTGCTTTGGTTGTATTACCCCACTGCTGCCTTCCATCCTTACTTTTATTTTTTTTTTCTCCTTCCTACCCCTCCCCATTAAACTTCACTCTCTCTGAAGATGTTCAGTGAAAAAATTGTATAAACTGTTTAATATCGCTTACAAGCTGACAGCATTAGAAAGCTCCTTCTGCCCTACTCACCCCAGTACTTTCAGCAGCCCCTGCACCCATGGTGCAGTGCTGCCCCTGTGCTGCAGAGGAGGTGATCCAACCCCCATGAGCACAATCTTAGCTTCTTTCTGCTCAGCATCTGGGTGCAGCACGTACTGTGGTTTATCAGACATCATTATGCGCAGAGAAACTTCAAGTGCTCCAACTTTCCCTAAACTCGCAGTTTTGAGAGCATTCTTGAAACTTCCCATGCAGGTCAGTTTGATCTTGAAGGAGGGAGATGAGAGCTGTTCATCTGGGTTTGCTTCCTCTAATGAATGGTTCATTGATCCATGCTGGAAACAGTCAGCCTGGTTGGCTACAGGGAGCAGAGTACAGATGGGAGCTGTGTTTCCCTTTTTCTGTAAGCCAAATGACAATGATTGCCTTAGAACCAGAACATTTTCATTAGGCTCATTTTATTTCTCAGATTTTTGTCATTCACAGTGTTTATGAAAGGAAGAAATTATTGGCCCTTGCTAAATAGTGCAGAGAAAAACTGGGAAAGCTTCCCAGGGTTTTGGTCTGATCCTTACTTGTATTATATCCTTGGGCTTTTGCATGGGTTGCCCTGGTGGAAAAGGCTGGGGACTGGTGTCACCCACAGAGCCTGGTTCCGGGGCTCCTGTGTCCCTCTGGGTCACCTCCCCTGCTCCTGTGTGTGCTGCAGCTGGGGAAGGTCTTCAGGGGACAGAAACACATGAATTTCCCCCTTACAGGCACAGTGCAGACAGGGATGTTTGGGCTGTTGACATGAGTGGTCCCAGAGGGGATCCCAAGGCAGTGCTGCCCTTCCCTGCTTTGATGCTGCTCTCTGCACAGCCTGAAGCTGCAAGGCTGAGATCAAAGGGTGCCTCTTCTCCCAGCAGGAGTGGAGAGGCTGCCTGGGTCCTGTCCTGTCCTGCATGGAGCTCTGTACTCTCTGAAGGTGCAGGAAACCCTCAAGTTGCAGAGAAAGCAGGGGCTGGACAGGGTCTGTCTGTGGGGTGTTTAATATCAAAGCCTGCTGATGTTCCAGGTGGTTGTGCATGTCCAAGTCCCATCTGAGACGCCAACTCTGGTCAGGATCTTGTGAGGACTGAAAGCTGAGGAGAACAGAACAGACCTCAAGAAGGTAAAGCCTGTGTCCGTGGGCTGGGAGCAGGAGGCCTGCCTGGCTGCTGCAGAGCCCTTGGTCCTACACCATGGGAATCCCTGCTTGCCTCAGTTTCTTTCCCACAGCATTTCACTCACCATCTGTCAGCAGCAGCTTTCCCCAGCAGCTCTTCTCCCTCCCACCTCCTGCACCCACCAGCCCCAGAGGGAAGCCAGCCCCTCATATGGCACCCAGGGCATGGGCAGTGACCACTGCTTGGATCCATTCCCTCTGCCCTCGGGCGTTGCAGCCAAGCAGAGGCTTAAAAGCACAAAACAAAACAAATCTGTCAGAAACCCTGGTATTTGTGTTGTTTCCCTGAAGGCAGAGTGCCATAGCAGGCAGCTGGGTAGTGGTGATCGCTTTGGAGAGCTGGATAGAGGCTGTTCCTCTTGTAGGGGTCTGGATTTTTATAATGTGCTTCTTATTCTGCAGGTTTCCTAGTCTAGATGTATTTACTACATGGTCTCTTGGCTAATTATTTCTAGCATGGCACTGATTGAGCTGTTAATAAAGTGTGAAGGTGCCTCGCAGGCACTTTTTGAGTCTTAAAGAAATGATCTACATCTAAATTGCAAATAGTAAAATTTCCTTACCTACCAATATTAAGGTGATAGCATCTCCACTATTGTAAAATTAATCAAACTTCTCCTGGTGACAGAAATGTTAATTTAAATTTTTTGTCACAATTACAGAGAGAGTTATTGCAGCCTCTGACTTGTAATTAATTTCTCTTTCTTTTCATCACTGTGTTACAGCCCTTTGTAATAGTGATAAATGGAGTATCTACCTGACCTTTTTTTTCTTATATAATATAAATTGGTTTTTGGTTTAAATAAAAATACTTCTGGTTAATCAGTGCTTTTCCATAAATAGGAGGATTGGAGAGAATAACTTGGGGTTGTTTCAAATAAGCATCTCTGCAGTTAGTATGACATGCAGAAAGAGATGAGATTGGGAGTAGCAGGGACCAAATACAAT